AACTTCTCATTAAGGGTTGAAAAGTTTAAAGTTGAATAATAAGCAAATAATACCCCACAAATTGGAATGAAGGGATCAATATTTGAAGTTTCCATTTTATCATGAGAGTATCATATCCCTTTCCATTGGAGAATGTAGTCTGTGCTTCATTGCAGGAGTCTAAAAGGAGAATTTCTTATGTTTCAATGTTTTGATGAAGTTCGTATTAAAAGCATAAGGAGTCTGAGTAAGCCTTGAAGTGCAGGCTGAAGAAACTGGAACTTCAATTAAACTGAAAGGGCTGTAATTTTTGGTTGAACAAGACACTAGTTTCCATGAACATGATTAAAATAAGTGTCTGATGGGAGAAAAGGTTTTATGTTGGTAATGTTGCATTTTTTAAAAGCTTCTAAAAAGCTAATATTAGCAACTTGAAAACCTAAAACGAGTTTCGCCCTATGATATTGACCGGAATCCTGCCATTGAGTAATCTTCTCTTGTTTAGGGTTGTGCTTTTACACTGCAGGATTCAAGGTGGCTTAATGAGGTCGATTGTTTTCTAAAATTTTAACTTTGTAGTAAAGTAAATTCAGTTATAAGAAGCAACACCAAAGCTTTTACTGCATAGGAATTTCTCCTAAAGTCTTTAGAGGTTCTATTCATGCACTAATTTAACGTAATTCTTAGAGCATGCATCTGACCCTCGCTTTTTCTTTCTTAGGCTCAGAGAATTTAGTGGAGCTTGTTACTGTGGTTATGCAAAGGTTAGGTGCAGTAGATGAACACAATCGTCCTCAACTTTTGGTAGGTGTAAATGAAAATCTTTTTTCCGCCTCGATGAATTTACCTTCTGCTCTTCATGTGGTAAATGAGGAGATGAAGATGGTATGAACTTTTTCTATCCTAATTGCAGTATGAAGATGATGAAGGCGATAAAGTTCTGCTGACAACTGATAGTGATCTTGTCGCTGCAGTTAACCATGCCAGATCAGTGGGACTAAAGGTATGGAGATGCCCCTTGTTATGTCGAATACATAGACACAGCCCCCTAAAGTTGGCGCTAATTTTTATTTGGACACCTCTACTGATCCTTGTACCTAGTAGACACTCCAACACTCACCAAAATGTACCTATTAAACATAAAGTGCTGACATGGCATAAAGAGTGATTCTCACTACATTTAGGCGCGTGAATGATTACATTTTGCTGACATTGCTAAAAATTACCAGTTTCTCCCCTCTCTAACACTTCTTGTTCATCTGTCTTCTTTCTCCTTTCTCTCCATCTCCATCTACTATTTTGGTCACCATCCTACTAATTTTTTTTTTTTTTTTTGATGAAGATCTACTAATTTTTTTTCTTATTTCTTAATCTTCATCGTGTTATTAAATAAAACAAACTTCATCAGTTTTTCTCCGCCAAAATTTCTAATTCTGCCCACCCCATTATGAATATCCCCTTTCTGGCGATTTTTCTGATGATGCTCGTTTGCATACATCAGATTCTGGTTTGTTGCAGAGTTTTCTTTCTGCTCCGTATAAGAAGGAAATCGACAACCACAAAGACTATCACGATACCACAAATATAAATCATCGTCTAAATCATCAAAACAGTGAAAGAATGAGAAAGAAACGACATAGTAATCTGGAGGAACCAAAGAATGCACACGTTAGCTTTTGCACCCAAGAATGAAAAGGGAAATGGATCTGCTATATATGGAGTAAACATATACTATGGAAGATTGTTCTGTTCAGTTGTTCTAGTATGGAGTAAAATACTCTGCCAAATACACTCAGCGCCTTATTAGATCTTCTACTGCCTGTTCTGTTTCTGTTTCTACTTCCCGGCAGCTTTGAAGAGGAAGAGGTCGGCAAGATTTGGTATTCCGATCTCTGACGTCTTTGTTGTACTAGACTCGTAGCTATTATGTTTATTTCAACAGAAGATAGATGAAGAAAAAAACAAAGAAAAGGCCAAAAGAAAATGGAGAAGAAAAAGAACGATGAAACGACAAACGGAGGGGGGGACGTTCGTCGAGAGGATTATCACAAAAGAAAGTTTCTATTTTATGGCTAAAACTCCTTTTCTTTTTATTTTTCAAATTTATTTTTTTGCTTTTATTATTTTACACTTGGGCGTCCATTAATTGGTTCCGTTTTTCATGTCAGCAGAGTAAAAATCATGCCCTACTTTTTTAACAAAGAATGTGGCTCGGGTGTCCAATAGGTACACTGTAGTATGTTGGAATGTCTAATAGGTACAAGTTCAAGGGTCAGTCAAGGTGTCCAAATGAAATTAAGTGCCAATTTTAGGGGGCTGTCTATGTAGTTGGCCTATGTTTTTCCTATTGTATGATTGTATCAACTTCCATTAAGTTATGGTTGTCAAAATTGCGGGACATCCTGTGTCACGAGCAACTGCTTCCCCTTGTTAATGAAGTTGTAATCATATTCCAGAAAGAATTTTGTGAATAGTCGGATTAGGCAGAGAAATGAATTGTCATGTGAATAATTTTAATACCAACTCGTATGTAAGTAACAAGTGTTTTGATTTTCTCTGAAATTTTTTGTTTCCCTTTTAGCATCAAAACTCTGTGATGATGACCAAAATTCCCTCAGGCATCTATTTCTGTCAGTGGATGTATACAGGCTTTGTGGACAGTTTGGTCATAGCATTCTTATTTTCATGACTGCTACATTTCTTTTGCAGGCCTTAAGATTGCATCTAGACTACTCTGATGTAAACCAAGAAAAATCAGAGCCAGAATTGAGTACTACATCTCTCGAGAAAGATGGATGGGGTTCACTGCACATGGGGATTTTTGCGGGCGCTGTTGTGTTAACAAGTGTTGGTGTATTTGCCTACTTGAAGCGCACCAATACGTGGTAAGCCAATTTTTAAGGATTCTATTCTGCTGGAAAAGCTATAGATCATGCAGACTGATGTGTGAAGTTCCCAAATTTTGCTGTCGGCAATATGAACACTTTTACTATTAGTAGAGAAGGGCAGTGTTTGAAGTGATCCAAACATGCTGATATAAGAGTAGCTACCAAGAATGGTCTCCTGCTCCCTAATGCCTACTGGTTGAGAAGAAGGGAAAAAGGGGAGGAAAAAATGAAATGAAAAGGGAACTAGAGGAGAATTTGTCAGTCTAAGTTGCAGCAACATTATTCTCGTTGATATGATACGTGTTATTTATGGTCAATTACTTCTGTCAATTGGAGTTTTTCCTTGTAAAATCAGTGAATTTGGGTCTTTTTAGTATTACTGGAGTCATCCAAAGTTTGAGGGGATGCCTCATAACTCGAATACTGTAAATCATATAATAGCATGCATCTTGGTGCTAATCTTCTTTATTTAACACTAGTATTTTTTTAATTTAGCAAACAAGAATTTGCATTCAGCTTAGCAAGGTCGAAATCTGGTATACAAAAAAATAGAAAAAGAAAAAACCGCCGTTCGTCGGAAATTGTTTAGGTTGCATCATCAGAGATTTCAGACACTTGAGATCTTGAAGGGTTACAGTGGTTGGAATCATGGGCGAAGCTATACATACTCATTGACCACCCTTCGTCGATAAAATATTAGGTTTTAAAGGTATATAACATATATTGAACGCCCTTTATCGGGATTTTTTGTAACTTATTTCAACTTTAAAGAACCCTTGAAAAAATTTCTGACGAAATCAATGGTTGGAATCCATTGTGGAAGTTGGTCTCGAGGAAAAAGTTATAGTGAAATGACTACTATGATAGAGCAGATGAAGCATTTGAGCCACAAGTATGACGAAATCCATGAATATTATGATCAGTGGCGGAGCCACTTTCGTCCGGAAATTATACCGTGTAGATAGGTTATGGCATAGCAGATGAAGAACTGCAAAGGACAGAATTTAGTCGGGTAGATTATAGTCTTGGGTCCTTTGATTAAAAGGGACGTCTGAATCTTTAAACTAGAAAATGATCCACAAGTCTTAAATCATAAGGAGACAATCCTCTTTTAGGATTAAGGTTAATTATAAGTTAATGATGAAGCAATTTCTTTAACGAATAAAAAAGAGCTCATCCAATCTCAACGGCTATTATTTTTCCCCAAACTGTAATTCCTTCCTAGAGAAGCGTGGAGTAGAAATGGAAAACAATCCACATAAATGTCAATCACGAAAACAAGCTGCACTTAAAACGAGATCGTGGTTGTGAGTACTTCATGTGGGTTGACCCAAAAATGCCTAAGCAGGCTAAAAGGAAATTCGGGAGGTTAACAAAAAATAGAACATCATGGAAAAAATTTACGTGGATTGTGTTGTTTTTTTAAGTTCTTTGTTATTGGTTCTGGTGATAAATGCTATACATTTTAAAACTCTTATTATGCTAACATGTATCAGTCCTTTGAGAGCATGAATTTATGTGTAATTGGGTGTAATAACACAAGTTTGCATATTTGTTTGGCCAAATAATTATTTTATCAGCATAGCATTAGGTATTGATTAAAGGGGTGTAATTACATTCTACAATTTTTAACAGAGAATTGATGGTAATTATATCATTCAATTATAAGCTAATGTATTTTTTCCTCTTCTTTCTTCAAATTTTTTTCTGAGCCGGGAGAGCATGAATTTATGTGTAATTGAGTGTAATAACACAAGTTTGCATATTTGTTTGGCCAAATAATTATTTTATTAGCATAGCATTAGGTATTGATTAAAGGGGTGTAATTACATTCTACAATTTTTAACAGAGAATTGAGAACTGATGGTAATTACATCATGCAATTATAAGCTAATGTATTTTTTTCTCTTTTTTCTTCAAATCTTTTTCTGAGCCGGGGATTTATTGGAAAGTTTCTCGGTAAAACTACATACACACTATATTCCCCTAACCCTACTTGTAGGATCACACTAGGTTTTTTGTTGTTTTTTTCCTTCAAATATATTAAGTACTAGATGGCCCGAGCCCGTGCAAAAGCACGAGCATTTGTGCGTAATTGTTGTGCGCAAGATAGTAGTACCACAAAGCTAAATATTGGCATAATGTGTTTAATATTAACATAAAGTACATCATATATATAGATGTATATGTGGAACAAAGTTGTACAGGTACATTCTTAAGCTTGCTAGAAAGTCCAAAACAGTCAAATTGTTCATGTTCATATTGGCGAGATTGGATAAAATCTTGAGTTTAGGAGCTGCAACTGGTAACCCATGCTTCATCTTGCTATTCACTGAAAGACATGGAAAAGCATGCATTAGAAATAAAACATAGTATACGAAGGTAAATCCATGATGATCTACAATAAAAGCAATGGCAAAGACAAAATATTAACATCAGGAAATATTGGTGAGGCGTAAAAGGGATTCTTGAGAAAATTGTGGCAATGCTGGAAACAGAATCCCATGGTAGCAAAAATTTCAACATAATGTAAGATCAGTGGGAATATGAGTCAAAAATGGACCTTACTGCTCATATAAAGTAATTCTTCACCATGGTCATTCTTCCATGAAAGAACCTGTTTTCCATGCAGGCTAACCTGGAGATAACAATATACGTAAGTGGCACATAAGCAAATGGGGAAATGTCATCTGATTCTAAAGTTATATCCAAAATTTAGTACCCAAAAGAAGACCAATATTTTATTGTCTCCATTGCAGAGTTTAAACAAAATATCTGAAAAAGATTATTCAACAATGAATATGAAAGTAACGCACCATTTCTATATGTAATAAGAAAGCTATCAATTGTAAGTTAGAAATCCTTATAACCCCTTCTAAAAGGGTAAGGAGAGAACAATTACACATTATATACAACACCAGGAGGAAAATAAGATGTCACCTATGTTTTCTAAGTGAACAAAGATAATTCGCAAGTGTTCTGCATATGACCGACTTGTTTTTGTCAATCGAGACCTTTTGTGAGGTTCTTAAACATAATATATGAGATGACAAAGATTGTAGGATTCTTAAGAGATATAGGTCTCAAGCTCTTTCTTGAACACACAGGCTATGGAGAAAATGAACTAATCTCAAATGACATGCCAAAGCAATCAGTTTCATATCTATTTTTCCCACCAAAACTCATTTGTGCTTTACCCGAGCTTATTAATAGGCAGAATGTTTACAAACAATAAAATCCATACAAACTCCAATTACCAACATGAAAATTAAAATTTTATGTGGTGCCTCCTTCTTGAGAAACACTTTTGTGGCGCCCAACTTGAGTCAACCACTTCCCAACAAGCATTAAAAAATTAAAGATATTTAGGAGACTTGGAAGGAAGAGCTAATTCCCTAAATAACTACAGATTACTCGTCACTGCTCACCTACCATCAGGCGGACCAATTGTCTTTTGCTATGGCAATCTTCTTTATTCTGTTTTTAATTATTTTGGTTCCTAGAGATTTTTACTAAAAGTTAGAATTCAATTGTTTTACATTCTCATCATCTTTTAGCCAAAGAGGGACATCATGTAGAGTAGGAATTTCCTCCGCAAAAAATAAGAAACTTTAAGAATGTACTATTTTACTTCATAAACAAAAATAATACCCAGAAAGAGGCAAGAAAGATGAAATGAAAATCTACCAATAGATAAACTTAGAAACAGAAAGATAAAAACTAAACCAGTAACAAACATATGAGGAGGAAAACATTGGATTTATGAGTTACTTCTTCCTTCATCTACCATTCTTCCAACTTGTAAATAACAGAAATGCCTATTACAAATAAGAATGGTAAATCACCTTATCTTTACCTATTTATTTGTCTAGTTTCATTCTTTATTTGTGTTAGATATATACATAATGTAGTCTTGTCCCACATTGGAATGAGAGTAGTATGTCCTTGTATAGTATAGCTATAAATAAGCACCTCTTGTATTGTATTGAACACACAATATCAATATATCATATTTTCTTCTGTGCCTTCTCACATGGTATCAGAGCTATTGTGAGAGATTTATCGTTGTGCATAAATTCCAGCGATTCCGGGAAGTGAAATCAGTCACCGGAACCCTTTTTCCGGCGACTTTTCAAAGTTGTTTTGCGTCTGCTTTGTCTCGGTTAGTGTTGTGCAAAATCCAACACTACCACAAGAGTAGTCACTGTCCGGCGACCAAACCCCAGTGAAAATCTCCGGCGGTAGTGTAGCGGTCGGAAGAAAATTTTCCAGCGAAGTTCTGACGTCGCGTGGGCCACCTTGCGGCCATTTTGTTCCCCTTGCAATTCCGTGCCTACCCATCCAGGTTACACCAAATTCCGATCACTTTTATATTTTTCTGGTGTGAACAGTGATTTCAGAAGTGGACTTCCGACCATTTTTTTAAAAAGTTTCTTCAGAACAGTTGGGTCGTCCGGTAATTCCGATCCTACCCCTACTGTTTTTATTTCATTCCGACCACTTTGAATTTTTCCGGCTGCTATAGTAATATTCCGAGAGCTACAGTATTTCTGACGTGAACAGTGTTTTCCGGCGCAGAACAGTGTTCTGTTTTCCTACTGTAAACAGTGTTTTCTCAGCGATTTTTTCAGTTTTCCCAAAGGAGTTACTAATTTTCACTATTTCAAGTTAACCCTACTACTATTAATTGTAGCGACATGGGAACCGATACTTCGAATAATCGGATGGTTTCTTTAGTGGATTATTTTAAGTTTCTTCAATACAAAGCAGGTAAACAGACATCTTCTGAGATAGCTTCCGTTGTTCAAACAGGTAATAGCGTGACTTGTGTCTCTCAATCTTCATCCTCTGAGTCTTGGGTCATTGATTTAGGTGCATCGGATCATATTTCTGGTAACAAATCTCTTTTCACTACTATTTCGTATTCTCAATCTCTTCCAAGAGTCACAATGGCCAATGGGTCTCAAACCATGGCAACTGCAATAGGCCAAGCAAGCCCAATTCCTTCGTTACCTTTAGATTCAGTTCTTTATGTCCCTAATAGTCCTTTTAATCTCATAGCTGTTAGTCGCCTAGCCAAATCACTTAAATGTGCCGTTTTATTTCTTGATGACCATGTTTTTATACAGGAACGCAGTACAGGGCGGATCATTGGTACCGGGCGTGAATCAAATGGACTTTATTACCTTATCCTTGCTAAATCACATGGACTCACATCTTGTCTTCCTTCAACAACTTGTCTTGTTACTGATTTACCAGATTTATTACATAAACAGTCGGGACATCCTAGTTTGTCAAAACTTCAAAAAATGGTACCTGGTTTATCTCACTTGTCAGCTCTAGAGTGTGAGTCTTGTCAGCTCGGTAAGCATACTCGCTCTCATTTTCCTCGATGTATTGATAATCGAGCAGAGTCACCTTTTAATTTAGTCCATTCAGATGTTTGGGGTCCTAGTCGGGTCAGTTCTACCTTAGGATTCCGCTACTTTGTTAGTTTTATTGATGATTATTCTAGGTGCACCTGGATATTTTTGATAAATTTTTTCTATTTTACAGACCTTTCACGCTGAAATTCAAAATCAATTTGGGGTTTCTATTCGCACATTTCGTAGTGATAATGCCCGAGAGTATTTGTCTTTCCCATTTCAGCAGTTTATGAAATCTCATGGGATTATTCATCAAACATCTTGTCCGTACACATCTCAACAAAATGGGGTAACTGAAAGAAAAAATAGACATCTTATTGAAACTGCTAGTACCCTACTCATACAATCTCATGCTCCATTGCGTTTTTGGGGGATGCAGTTCTTACATCTTGCTATCTTATTAATCGCATGCCATCTTCAGCTATCCAGAACCAAGTTCCATTCTCTATTATGTTTCCTCACTTACCTTTGTTCTCTCTTCCACCCCGTGTCTTTGGAAGCACTTGTTTTGTCCATAACCTTGCTCCAGGAACAGATAAGTTAGCTCCATGTGCTCTTAAGTGCACATTTCTTGGTTTCTCGAGAACGCAAAAGGGGTATCGATGCTATTCTCCTGACCTCCAGTGATACCTTATATCCGTTGATGTTACCTTCTCTGAAACCCAATCATACTTCATAGGTTCAGGTAATCACTTAGATATTTCTGAGGTACTATCAGTCTCTTCTTTTGGAGATTCAGTCACTATCTCCCATCCATCTTCCTCTACATCTCCAGCTCTATCACCTATAGCTCCCGTTCCACCATCTATAGCTCTAGTTCCACCACCTATAGGTCCAATTCCTCCACATAATCCAGTTCAACCTTCTGCAGCTCTGCCACTCTTGACTTATCATCGTCGTCCACGTCCAGCATCAGGCCCAGGTGATTCACGTCCTGCACCAGATTCTGCACCTACTGCGGACTTGTCTCCTCTTAGTCAACCAATTGCACTCCGCAAAGGTGTACAGTCCACACTTAATCCTAATCCCCACTATGTTGGTCTAAGTTATCATAGTCTGTCGTCACCTCATTATGCTTTTATATCTTCTTTGTCCACTGTTTCTATTTTTAAGTCTATAGGTGAGGTACTATCTCATCCTGGATGGCGACATGATATGATTGACGAGATGTCTGCTTTACATGCGAGTGACACTTGGGAGCTTGTTCCTCTTCCTGCAGGTAAGTCTACTGTTGGTTGTCGTTGGGTTTATGCAGTCAAAGTTGGCCCGGATAGCCAGGTTGATTGGCTTAAGTCTCGTCTTGTTGCAAAAGGATATACTCAGATTTTTGGGCTTGATTATAGTGATACTTTCTCTCCCGTAACTAAAGTAGCATCTGTTCGTCTTTTTTTGTCCATGGTTGTTGTACGTCATTGGCCTCTTTATCGGTTAGACATTAAGAATGCTTTTCTCCACAGATCTTGACGAGAAAGTTTATATGGAGCAACCACCTGGTTTTGTTGCTCAGGGGGAGTTTAATGGTTGTGTATGCAGATTGCGCATGTCACTATATGGTTTGAAACAGTCCCCTCGAGCCTGGTTTGGTAAGTTCAGCACAATTATTCAGGAGTTCGGCATGACTCGTAGTGAGGCTGATCACTCTGTGTTTTATCGGCATTCTGCTCCGAATCTGTGTATTTATCTGGTGGTTTATGTTGATGATATTGTTATTACTGGCAACGATCAGGATGGTATTACCAATCTGAAGCAACATCTCTTTCAGCACTTCCAAACTAAGGATCTGGGCAGACTGAAGTATTTTCTAGGTATTGAGGTCGCTCAGTCTGGCTCAGGTATCGTTATTTCACAGCAGAAGTATGCCTTAGACATTCTTGAAGGCCTATTGACTCTCCTATGGATCCGAATGCTAAGCTTCTACCTGGACAGGGGGAGCCTCTTAGAGACCCTACGAGATATAGGAGGCTGGTTGAAAAATTGAATTACCTCACAGTGACTAGACCTGACATTTCTTTTCCGGTGAGTGTTGTAAGTCAGTTTATGGATTCTCCCTGTGATAGTCACTAGGCTGCAGTTGTTCGTATTCTTCGGTATATATAGTCAGCTCCAGGCAAAGGATTACTATTTGAGGATCAAGGCCGCAAGCAGGTTGTTGGGTACACAGATGCTGATTGGGCAGGATCACCTTCTGATAGACGATCTACGTCTGGATATTGTGTTCTAGTAGGAGGTAATTTAGTCTCGTGGAAGAGCAAGAAACAAAATGTAGTTGCTCGATCTAGCGCCGAAGCGGAATATCGGGCCATGGCTATGGCAACGTGTGAGTTCGTTTGGGTCAAGCAGTTGCTCAAGGAGTTAAAGTTCGGAGAAATCAACAGGATGGAACTAGTGCGTGATAACCAAGCTGCTCTTCATATTGCGTCAAATCCGGTGTTCCATGAGAGGACTGAACACATTGAGATCGACTGTCACTGTGTCAGAGAAAAAAATACTTTCAGGAGATATTGTTACAAAGTTTGTAAAGTCGAATGATCAACTAGCAGATATTTTCACTAAGTCTCTTACTGGTTCTCGTATTAGTTACATGTGTAACAAGCTCGGTACATATGATGTGTATGCACCGGCTTGAGGGGGAGTGTTAGATATGTACATAATGTAGTCTTGTTTCACATTGGAATGAGAGTAGTATGTCCTTGTATAGTATAGCTATAAATAAGGACTTTTTGTATTGTATTGAATACACAATATTAATATATCATATTTTCTTCCGTGCCTTCTCACAATTTGTATTCGTTGAATCAAAGAATTTATTTTCTTGCATGTAGATAACGGCAACAAATAGACAATGAAGGACCAACACCTGAGACGATGAAGAATGGATCTTGTCTATCTTATTCTCTATCTTAAAAGTATTGTTCTCAGGTTAATGCAGATTTATGCCATGTATGAGCCAAACAATAGTCAACAATTTTTTCTCATCTACTACTTCAAGTCATATCTCCTAAAATCTTTACCCATGATTAATTAGCTCACAGATTCTTGAGAGTCTATGCAAAAGATTGTTGTCAAATAAATCATATAGGATTTATCACACTCCATACTGCCTAGAAGAGTAATCAATGATTACATTTAGATAAACTCGCAATCAGTTCAAAATCGACATACCAACAATTTCTGAAGTCCGCATTACCACCAAAATGTGAAACAAGCAAAAAAAGTATTATTCCTTCCTTTTATTTCCTCTGTAGTCACCGCATAATGTCACACTTCTTACAATTTATCTTTTTCTCGGAGAGCACCAGCAGGGTTAAATCACAAGCAAGAGATTAAATTACCTTATCAGCTTTTCTATCCGGTTTCCCAACGTTTCCACTGTAAGTGCTTCCAACTTTCTGCGTTCCGTCACAACTTTCAGATCTTCAAGGCGAAAGAGCAAATAGGACACAGACTGATCATCATCTAAAGGTGTATTTGCCACACATCGAGCAATATCTACCAGTTCATTTATCTGTGACATAAAAAATTATAACATCAAAATGTCAAAATTCAGAACTCCTGAAAATATGGAAGCAGGTTATTTAAAGAAGTCGATACCAAATATACTACACTAACATGAGCAACTGTAGGATATAAGATACATATTACTGAAGCTTTACAGTGAGACAGGAAAATATCATTATAAACTCTTTTTCAATCAATATGTTGCAAGAAACACAAGGTTCTCAAACTTCAAATGGAGTAACTCCAAAGAATAAGACAGAAAATACGGTTCAAATCAGAACTGAAAATGCTAATCATATTTCCACTTTAATAACAATTAAGCAATTACATATAATAAACCAATTCTTATCCTTTACAAATTCTGCAGTTTTAGGATCCCTATCTGCTGCTGTAGAATGATACATTTCAAGAACAGAAATTGGATAACATTATCCTCTCAAAAAGTATTGCTCAAACTTGCAACACAACAGTTATTATTAAAAAGATGCAAGGGAAGAATAAGGTCAAGAGGTAATTTTGATTACCTTTGTTTCATGCCTATGGTTAGTGGAACATAGTGGTTATTGGAATGTTTGTGTACAGGAAAAAAAGTGAAAAGCAAGCTGCAGTGCAAAATTTATTTTCCTGCAAAACAACTGTTGATAAATAGGAATTTTTTAAATAAATTTACATGTAATGGAGCCAATTAGAATTTTTACAGAACTACCACATGTACATATGTTGCTAAATTTCTAAGTTTTTGTAGGTAGGTCAGTGTTGTGAAGAGTGGCAAGCGAGGAAAAGCGAGAAGCTCTTTTTTGCTTAAAGCGAGAAAAAATGACAGTTAGTAAGAAAATGGCAGTAAGAACTAAAAAGAAGAAGAAGAAGAACTGAAGGAAAAAAAATTGGCAGCATTTCGTCGCTATTTTAGGACAGAAGAAGAAGAAGAAGAAGAAGACCTGGTCTTGAACTCGATGAGCTTGAACTTTGCTCTACTCCTCAATGATGTTTGAAAAAAGACACATTTTTTTTAATGTTGGCAGTCACTTAAAATACTGAAACACTCGCTACTGTCGCTTCTCGCTACAATCATACTTCTTGCTTTTTGGCAGAAGCGCACGCTTCAACTTGAAGCGTGCTACACTTCTTGCTTTGCTTCGCGCTTTTCACAACACTGGTAGGTTATTTCTATTTTGTGGATAAACGCATAGGAGTTGACATGACATCAGAGTATACAAACTATCTCTGAGGTGGTTTTCTATTTAGTTACCTTTGTTCCATGAAAGCCAAAACTGATCGCAAAAAGGAGCTGATTAACCTGCAAATATTTTCGGGAAAAAAGAAGAAGATGAAAATGAAAATGGTTGTTGTTAAAGGATAGGTGTAGTATATAATTCAAACAATGAATGAGGAAGAGAAATTTTTGAGTGACCTTCATTTCATTTTAACTGGAGTCGTTGGCTCCAGTTTTTGTTTTAGCTTGAACAAATCACCTCGTTCAGTTGCTAGCTCTATTTCTCCATCAGAGGAAGACAAATCTTCTTTCTTTCTCTTGCTGCCTTCAGCTATATCCGTTGTGGTTGGTGCAGGGAGAGAATGAATGATATTTTCTTTTTCAACGCATGATACAATATACAATTTTCCAGATGTTGCTCCTGAATTGCGTGCAAATGCTTTTTGTCACTTGAATTTTGAACAATTTTTGACTAAGCCTGCTTTGCACATCTTGCATTTGCAAGGACTCATTCTGAAAAAATGAAACATATTAAGTTATTTTGCAAGTTCAATAGTGAAGTGATCATGTGTGAATTGTTTACTTAGAATCCGTACATTAACTGAAGCTCGCTCGTAAACTTCTTCTGCAGTAAGAGATAATATTTTCTATCCTTCTTTACCCATAACCATTCCAAATATTGAGCCAGAGGTATCTTGAAGATTCACATCAAATCGACACCTGTAGTATATGTGTGAAAGTCAATAAGAGTTTAGGGCAGAGTCTGATTATGCTTTGGATGTATCTATAAAATTAGATAAGAAAGTACTTGGGAGTCAACATATTCTGTTGATTGTAGTTCATACAATGAATTTCTCTTCTGACTGGACTCCTCACTTCTTGTCCACAGTTTGGACATATTAAAACGTAAAAACACTTGAGGTCACTTGGAAGTGATATTTTTGCCTCAATGAAAAAGGTGTGTCCCTATGTTACCAAAGTGAGAGTAATTTTTGTAAGGACAAATACTTATATCATTGTATAAAATATGTGAATAGAAATTATACTGACGTCCTGCTGTGATTGAACATTTGCAATTGGCACTATTTCTTCATCCACTGGAACAGAAATAAGAGATCCGGATGTGGATGTGCTCCTCACAATGAAAGAAGCAAGCATTTCTTGGTTTTCTACGATCCTGTCCCAAAAGTAAAAATGACAACACCTTAGAATGTTAATAATAAGAAAGAAACATGAACAATATACAGAGGATTAATGTGATACCATTTACGTAGTTGCAGACATTGTTGATAAGGTGGATTAATCTGTATGATTGTGTTAAACCTTGTTGTAAATGATGTCCCTGCATAAATTACATTAAGAAATTACAAAATCACGTTGGTTCTTTGTATAAGATGAAATATTGCTGATTTTAGTTTACCATTGTATTTCGACACCCCAATACGTCTTGCAAGAATGATGGGATACTCTTGGAATTGCCCAAGGAGTTTCTTTCCCTCATCTTCAATAATACCTTCTTCCCATATTGTGTTTGTGAAAGTTTGCTTCCTGTGTAAATGGAAGGGACAAATATTTATAGTACTTTTTTATATAATTAGATAATAAATATAAAGAAGTGTCTGAAAAAATTATGACTTGGCTAATAGACCTACCGAGTATCAATGATGATGAGTTCCTGCAATCTTTTCTGCAGACTTGCAACATATCTTGGCGGAAAGCACTTGACAACAATTGCAAGCACATCTATTGACAAAAGGATTTATTAAAGTTAATAAGTAAATGTATAAAATAGTAAATTCACAAGTTCTATTAAATTACTTGTTCGTCGATTAAAGAATAAAATTTTCATACTGTGTTCTACGTTCTTAGTTGGATTCTTGATAGATCGAGAGGCTTGATCCTTAATGTGTCTAAAGGACGTCACAGTAAGTTTAGTGGGTGGCGGAAACTCTTCTTCATCTGGATTGTCTTTGTTAATTGGATCAATTATGGTCTTTTTTGTCGATAACCCACTCAAACGTATGCAACGGTTTTTCGTATCTCAAATTTGGTAGCTGTATGTGTGCACCCGTTATCAAGTAGGTATGAAATAGTCTGAATATCTTTTCATAATTGGGGATGTCATCACCATAAATGATTGCTTTGATTTGGTCTTCCTGTAAGCAACCAACAAAGAAATTGTGGAAGACTCATATGTAGAGAATGTAAGCAATGAGTTTAAAGATATTTAACAAATAAAGTAAGGCTGAGTGTATGCTTCCCCTTATCTTGTTTCCTTTTATAAGGAAAATGTAAGCTGAAAATTTATCTAAGACAGAATATATCTTAAAATGGGGGACTTTTAGAATCTCTTTATTCTCAAAAAAATATTACATATTCATGGGTAGGTAAAATTTCTTTTTTGGTTCAGGCATATCATGAAATATTTTGTCAAAGAAGCATCTAATTATTGAAGAGGGCAAAAAGAATTAAGTTTCATTATGAAAAAAATGAAAAGATAGGCAGATTTGTAGCTAACATTGAAAAGTCATCCATGTACACGTTTATTTTGCAAAGATGCAATGGGCAAATTAAACAAAATCTTTGTCGTGCATGTATAAGTAAACAAGAATCTGCGCAAAAGAAAAAAAAACTAATGATACTCAAAAAAAGAGTATTAACTACACATACCCAGATAACAATAGCCAACAAAGAAAGTGCAACAAATGAATAAAATATGCAGAATAACTCACACACCAGAGAGAGAAAAGAAAAATAAATTTGGAAAACTTGCATACCTGTTCATCTTGGAAGATCATGTTCAAATACTTTATCTTTCTGTCTGAACTCTCTCCTGGTCAACATATATCTACAACTCGCACCTTGCACGTCCAGTTTGGTGCACGTCCAGTTTGGTGTATCAGGAGTGATTGCACATATACCAAGTCTCTCTGCCATTGTTGCCTGCAATCTGAAAAATGATTAATAATAAGTATACGATAAAATAACAAAACCAAAATACAAGTAATAACTTACGTAATAATATCTTTTTTCGAGCCAATCAAAAGACTTAGGAGAATGCCTTTTTGATAATTTCACTATATACTACATTGTAAGTAGAATGGTCATTATGATTATCTACTGTTGCTGGTCGGATTAACATCTTTACACTGTTTGAGTTTGTTGCTCTTGATAAAGCAACGTAAAGTTGGCCGTGTGAAAAGACAGGTTCACGTAAATAAATTCCTACGAAATCTAGTGTTTTGACCCTAAGCTTTGTTTATAGTCATTGCAAAACATAATCAAATTGGGAATTGTGTTCTCTTAAATGGAATAGGTAATTTTTCATCTTGTGAAGATAATAATGGTATTTGAGGAATGAAAACATGTTTGCCTTTAAAGTCACTACTTGCAATTTTAGCACTAATAACATGAGGTTTGAAATCACTACAAATTAAGCGTTACATAAACCCTCGGAAGGATTTAAATTGCGCAGTATCATATTGGACAATTTTTCTTTAGAACTAACTTGTATGGAGGTAGACCAGCAGGATTCAAAGTATGCAGAAAATCTTCAAATTGGCTTTGATCTTTTGGCTCTACAGTTTCGTCAATTCCTATGAATGTCATAGCAGTTTTAGGAAACTGATCTATGAACATCTGATTAATTTCATTCACAAAATCATTTTTGGTTGTTAAGATAGCGCGAGATGTAACTGAGGAGGTATCATAAATGAGCGCATCTAAATTGGGATAACTTGTTTTAAACAGAACATGCAATGATTCTTTCTCATTAGTAAATGGAATGAGGAAAGATTTTGGAACTTCAATTTTTCCATGTTCATTAACCTTTTCTATTCCATCTCCAATCCTTAGTAAGTACTCACAAAAGGCAGGATTTTTCTTGCACGCATATTTTTTGATAATCGAAATTTTTTAAGATGATTCCAAATGTCTGAATATAATAAGCTTTCACAAATGAAATCTTCTTTCGTCCCGCTTTGTACAACTGGTAAAGTCTGTCTGAAATCACCTCTGAAAACAACGACTTTACCGCCAAAGAGTGTATCTTTGTCCATAATATCTCTCAAGAGTAAATCAAAAGTCTCGACAAGTTTTTTCTTTGCCATTGACACCTCATCCCATACTATTAGTTTTGCATCTCGGATTAAAGATGCAAGTGAACTTTGTTTACTTATATTGCAGTTATAATTTTCAGTGGTATCAATAGGAAGTTTAAAACGGGAGTGAGCAGTCCGGCCACCAGGAAGTACAAAAGCCGCAACACCAGAAGTTGTTGTAGCTAAAGCTATAAATCCCCTGGATCGTACAGTAGCTAGTAGAGCACGATATAAGAAGCTTTTTCCTGTTCCTCCAGGACCATCAATAAAAAAAGCTCCTTATCCATTTGAAAATATTCTATCAAGGATGGCGTCATATGCTGTTAGCTGTTCTTTATTTAGTTTTTTGAATAGCAACAAATCTTCTTCAGTCACAATTATGTTCCGCTCTAAATGGATGTCTCTAGCTTCTTGTGTTATTGTGGAAGATGTGAAAGTTTCTGATATGAGTTTAAATTCATTTATACTCCGTCCCATTGAATGTAATATATCGTTTATATGATTTAGGACCAAATAACGAATGTTGTTTGTTTGTATGTTTGGTATAATTGAGAAATCTTCTGACATGGAGCTTTCAAATCGTTCCCATAAATCTCTTGGATTAGCAGGGTTACAATATACTAATAGCGTTGCAAATAAACGCCTTAGACTGTATGGCATTTGGTAATTAGCGGCTTCAAACATATAATCAATTAAGTTATTATCACAAGCTAGCAATCCTCTTTTTTCTGCGGATTCTCTAAATGTGCTGCAATGCTTTCCATTTACAGTTTTGAGATCTTTGTATGACTTTGGGCCTCTTATGTTCATCAATAATAGGCGAAAGTAGTATCTTTCCCCTTCTGTTGGATGACACGTGACAATACGTCCAATAGCATAACCTTATTGTCTTGGTGACCACATTTTATCACTCACTGACCATACGAAGTGTTCTGGAAATTCTATGTACAATAACTGAAGCTCTTTGGCGCGCTTATTTGTTTCATTCATTGTAAAGAATTCCGTTAACATTGTTTTCTTAATTGCAGGAATATTTAAAATTGTGTTTAGACTTGCAATTGTCTCAAAGGAGACAAATTATTGATTCTCAAGATGTAGTTGAAGATGGTAGACATTGGGAGTCATTTCACTGATAGGAAAGGCAAACAACGCCACATAGCCTCCGGTGCTGACATCCATCTGCCAGATCTATATTCTCTAATTTCATCAATTTCTATATTGGTATCATTACTATGTACGTTGAAAGCAATTTTATCATGCCCTTTACAAATGTACTTGTAGATATATTTAACAACTTTAACATCCGAGCAAATTTCAACATTCATGTGACAGTTAAACTTGCTTAGTAGATATGGATTGTAAGGAACAACCCATGAATTATCAAGATATTGGCTTCTAACTTTGACAAATTTTCCAGTATCTCGCCTTCGGTAAATTGGATATGAATTCTGAACTTTAGATGTTTCGTTGGCATAATCTCTGAGATATTTAAATTTACATTGTCTCATTTTTTTTATGCATGGACTTGTAGGTTTTAAACTTCCACAAGGACCATGCATCATATGCTTAACAACCAAAGAATGTAAATAACTATTTGTATTACCATCTGGTAGTTCGGCACAAACAACTTTATCATAAGCCTCAGGTGTCAATAATTTATACTCGTCAGCAAGTATAATGAGGAAATGAGCGTGAGGAAGACCTCATTTTTGGAATTCTATGGTGTACATAAAAGCAGCGACTTTTCCAAATATACTCTTTTTAACTATATCTGACTTAAGCTCTTCTACCTTTGCTTTAAATACGCAACTCACTAAATCTGGTCTGTTTTGTACTTCATCAGTTGGTAGTAAGAAATCTTCTATCTCTGGCCATGAAGGATTACATGTCATCGTTAGAAAGATATCAGGTTTTCCAAAGTGTTGTACTAACGCAATGGCATCCATATATCGACGCCGCATATCTCTTGGACCTCCAGTAAAGCTAACAGGAAGGAATGTTTTTCTACCAATATTTGAAGCTTCTCTTTCGCCTAGTCTTAGAAGATCAGTAAGTCCTTCTAATACCTCAATCCGAAATAATTCTTGATTGAATAAGAAAAAGTCTAATCTCTGTGTTTCGAGTTTAATATATTCATCTACAGAATATTGTTGGAATAATCTTCCAGAATGTAAAGTTCCATTTTCTTCATCATCTCTAATTTGAAGTTTGTAGCAGTAATATTCTCGCAGGAAACAATATTTTTTTTCTTCCTTTCTTTTTTCAAGATTTCTTGTTCTATGTTAAGTAGTCCATCAATTGAACACATATTAGTTACACTTGGAAGTTTCTCATGTTTGCAGGAAGCACGAGGCGTAGGAGAGCTAGTTTTTTGTTGAACCTTTTGGATGCCGCAATGCCATCCGTTTTCACCGTAGGGAAACAACAAAGGATATTATAATGGGTCGTAGTAGCCATAGTAATAGTGAACCAGTTGGTTACTGTTACTATGGGTGTAGATACGAATATGGGGTGTAGATAAAGAACATTCCAATTCTTCGTCAACCCATATAGCTGCGACTTCTGATACGCTAGGTAAATTATATGTTCGTTGGTCCAAGGTAGAATCACACTTAAGTGCGTTGTAAAAGTTAGATAAATCTGGAATGTCTGTCAAAGATTTCAGAAAGATGGAGTATGGATTAATTTTTAGAATGCTCATCAATTTTGCAATAATCGACCAATCAAGTTTTTCGGAAAAATCCATCTTGTTAACTATATCCTCATCATTGTCATAAAAATAAAGCTGCAAATTTTTGGCTTTATTATCTCTGGGGTGAGGTCATTTATAAAATGGTACATTTGTCCTTGAACTCTAAATGTATAGACACCTTGAGTTCTTTTTGCTAATTCCTTATCGTACTTTACTGCAAGGGAAGTAAATGCGAACATGTTGTTGTATGTTCTAATATAAGTACGGAAATGATTGGATTCATTGTTCACGCCAAAGTAAAGGCTTTTTAACTCATAAGGTAGGCGTTGTAAAACTAATTTAACTGAACCATTACTACAACAGAAGCTAGGAGTTTCATATTGAAATCTTCTAGCTCCGTAGAATTTACAATTTGGAACCCCTTTTAGAACGGAAGGACAACTGGGTAGCTGGTTGATATTCCAGCACCCTACCTGTGTTGAGGTGCGTCCTGCAACATCATAAGTAGTTAAATTTTCATTATATGTTCCTGATGTCGGCGTGTAATATACAGGCAGCACCTCAAAATATGTTAACTATCTGAGGATAGCCAAAAATGCCGGAAGTTAATCGAATATTACAGTTCAATTCAACCAACCATTTCGAAAAGAAGAAGGTTTGTCTCGGATGAAGGTTGCAGCTTATCCTGGAATCATCCTTTGAGATTCGGAAGAAGAATAACTTTGATCAGAAGGTTTGGCGGAAGAAATTTCAGAAAGACGGCGTTTTCTCGCAGCATATTCAGTCCGACGTCGCTCTAGAAGTGCTGCCTTTTTTTCAGGTGGCATTTCTCTGTACGCGATACGTCGCCTAAGGTTTCTTTCATTATTTTCGGCACGAAGATATGGATGGCCTGTCGTGTGATCAATTAGGTCTTCATCCATCTTTCTTTTGTTAGAAGACATCTGACTTGCACACATTTCATATAGGCCTTTTGTTAAAGTCGAAACTTTATAAGGGTAACATTTAATCTATTCCCATAGGTACACATATCTACATATTATAACACAAAACACAAGGTAGAAGCAAGTTGTATTGTAGCTAAACAGATAACGTTATAGATCAGAAGTTGCGAAAATTACCTAGTGTAGCAATACTGTTTTCACTTTCTCCTAGATCAAAGTTCACTCTCAAGAGCCTGAAAAATAAAATTGAATAACGATTATATTCTAGCTGAATCGAGGAAACATATGCGATAATTTGCAGGGAAAATATGATATATTAGTATTACTTGAGGTAAATATCATGCGGGTATACACCTGAAGGTTAAAGCAGCTAGTGTTGTTTTCGGATCGAAAACCCATTTCCTTTTATGTTTCTGTTAGTCTAATTTAAGAACATGCAAAGCAATTGTCCAATTGCTATCAAGAACTAAGAGAAACCTAAGATCGTACACAGAAAATGCCTAACTCTTGACCCCAACTTTCCTATGGATCAACCCACAGAAATTTATCTAAAAAAAACCAAAATAGCAGAAAACTATTCAGTGTAGCATAAATTTCATCAGAAACAGTAAAGATAATAAAATTTTCAGCAGAAAAAGAATTTCAGTTGCCATGCATGTAGGTAATCAACAGAAATAGCCATAAGCTCTAGATGTCCTAAATTTTATTCTGAAACAGGAGACATAAATATGAAATTTGCAGGTGCTAATCAATATAAATTAACTTCCGACATTCATCTGAAAGAACTCACACATGCAAAACATAAATGCAGAAAGCATAAAGAAATTAAGAGAAAAAAAAAACAAAAAAAAACATAGGAAATCACTTTAATTGTTATTACTAACAATCCCAATAACAAAGAAAAAGCGCTAAAATTGCTCTCTGTCGCCTTAAATTAACACATGCATGGTTGGAAAAATATAGGAAAGACAAATAATATCCATCTCCCTGCCTTTTTCTAGTGAGAAATTTGAAAAGCTACAAATGAAATCCAAAAAGGAGTACCAAAAAAAAAAAAAGGCAACCAGAAGAAAATTAAACGGAAAGGGCTATCTAGCAAAAATTTACCCACAAATTGAAAGCTTAGAGAATCACAAATTAGAGAAAATGGAGAACCTTGAAACTGAGATAGAGACCCACGAAATGAAATAAATCATGAAAGTAATGCAATGATAGAATATAGAAGAGAAGTTGATGAATGAGAGAGAAAAACCATTGAAACTGAAGTGGTTAGAGGATCGTACCTTTTTCAGAAGATGAAGTGGCTGAACATTAGACAATGAAAAGTGTAAAAAAAGGCAATAAATGGTAAAGTAAAAAGTTGAGCACGTGGAGAACTTTTTGTCCAGTTTTGCTCAATGGTAGTGTAGATTAATTAATTACATGTGGCAATCCTACTATTCTATGGTTGAGATCTACTATTCTAATTATGATAAATGCTAAATAAAATATAATAAAAATTTAAAGGTCTCTGACGGAACCGTTTAATGCAACGGCATGCCCCTTGAAAGTCAAGTCTTTAAAGTTGTGGGGGCCACCAATTTAAGCAACATAACAATAAAAAATTTGCTGGAAGAATTTTACTATATGAATTAACACCTATTACTAGAGCTCGACTTCATAATACAAATTATATTAATCATGTATAATATATCTTCTTTTTCAATTCATGATTAAAATATTTCATGTATCATTATAATGTTAACAATTACATCGTTTCTTTTATTTATCTGCAAGATTCAATGGCAAAGGAAATGTTTTTAATAATTTGAATTAAGTGCTTCTTAAAATATGACTTGTACGAGCTTATTCCAACATAGTTTTTTTCTTTCAAGAACATCTCCTAAATTTACTCAGATGTTGACAAAAATATTAAAACACCTTTTATTAAATTCTTTTAACAAGTTTGTAATGTTTATTATTTGCACAAGAATCTTTTAGTTTTAATATTTTTGCAAATGCATGAAATTCATATTCTCTACCTCATGATCAGGTTTGTATTAAATGGTGTGCATATATATATATATATATATATATATATATATATATATTAAAACTTCCAAATCTTTTCAAAAGTCAAGGATAACAATTTCAAGAATAATAATTTATTATGATTTATGTCAATTTACTTTTAGTTAATTTTACTATTATATTTGAGATATTGAACTCAAAAATAATGGTATCATAATAAGATGTATAGTGCTATATATTTTGAATATATTTTTTAATCTCATTATTAATGTAGTGATACTTGTTAGATTACTTTTGAAAAGGTTAAATAATATCGATTCCAAATTATTTGTGATTTGTACTATCACATTATCAGGGTCCACATTTTGCATTTGGGTAAGAGGGGTTAGATTTCTAACTGGCAGTGCCGTTGCACTAAACGGTTCTGTCAGTGGCCTTTAAATTTTTATTATAGTTTATTCAACATTGTTTTACCATATTTAGAATAATAGATCTCACCCATATAATATTAGGATTGCCACATGTAATTAATCTGTACTACCATTGAGCAAAATTGGACGAAAAGTCACTGGAGGGGATCTATCCGAACAAAAGGACACATGTAGTCCACTTTCAATGGGTCTTGTATTAACATAATAATGGGTCCAGGTTCTAGAAATATCCATGTATAAAATTACCAAAACACCCTTGGTCGTCCAAGGAACCTTTGCTTATTATATAGTTAAAATTAAAACTAGTACTATTTTTACACTATTTTTTTTATTTTCCTTTTCCAACATATTGCTTATGGTATATTTTCATATAATTTTGCAACTTCGCATAGTTTGCTTCTTTCTTTTTTTATTTCTCTTAGTTGTTAAAAACAATTTAATAGCTTTATTTTTACTCATTAGCATAAATAATTATTAAGAAAAAATATCTTCTAAGCTCATACCTATATTTTTGTTATTTAAAAGTATAATAAATCATAAATTCTACATTATATTCATATGAGTTGGTAGAATTAAATTGATAATGAAGCTTTTATTAATTATCTTAAATTAAGATATCAGTTATTTGAAATCTAAATATCGATGATTATTCATGATATTAGTTACCAACTTATGATTATTTATTACTTTTTTTATAAAAAAAATATGTAGTTTAAATAACTAGTTATAAATAATATCTAATATATCTTATATATATACAGGCATTTTTCACAACTTATAATTTGTTTAGTTTGTAATTTACTAGTTTAATTTTCTAATCCTTAGTATAAATATTTGTTATAAAAAAATACTTTCTAAGATTATATCTAACTTTCTTATATTTACGTGAGTTGGTAAAAAAATATTAAATTAGTTGTTTAAAATTTTTATGTAATAATATTATTTATTTGTAAAATACCAATTATTTTTATGATATTATTTACCAAATTATAATTAATATATTTTACAAAAAAATTATTTTACATACCTCATAATAGATTGCATCATTTATTTCAAAATAATACGCATAACACATTTATTTCATGCACTATACCTTAATGGGGTAACTGGTCATTAAAGTATAGCGCATTAAAAACATGTGCTATATATAAAAAAATTCGTCAATAGTTTTTTTCACCTACTTTTATGTCTTTGAGTTCAATACTGCATCATTTTGGTTTCGGACTCCAAGTTTGGAGCCCTAAAGCAAGTTTCTTATTTGTTTCACCGTGGAGCCGGTTAAAGTGTTATAATTACACTTTTATTTGTAGGACTTCTAGACATGACACAATTAATGTGTCGGCTGATTCTTTTTCATGGATCTAGCATGCGATAATCCTTTATGATAAGGGTTGACGGTAAAACTGGAACTCAAGTCCATTTTTTCACCATTAAGGTTAAAATGGCTTACAATAATAAGCAAATCTTCATAGCATAGTTTGATTTAGTAACCAAGAAAATAGAGTACTAATTTGTTATAGTTGGGTAAATTAATCTTTGTTTACCTCAAAAATACGATTAACAATTAAATTTGATTTATGGTTTTAAAGATATGTGATTTAATTCAATACTAATTAATAATGAAGAAAACTAACTTATAAATGAAGGAAGTAAGTAAAATCAAACCAGTGTGCCAGACAATCTCGACCTCGAGCTAAGATGACCTCGAGGTTGGGTAAGAACAGTAAAGCAAGAAAAATTAAGTAAAGAGACGATTCTAATGAACTATGAGCCAAAAAAGTAAGAGAGTATATTCTTTGCCAATGATTGATGATCTTTACAAATGATTGAGATCCCCTTTATATAATATGGGAACTCTAAATATGGTACATTTTTATTTACAGAAAAGAATCTTATTGGGACAGTTGTCTAACCGCCTAGTACGGATTCGTACAAATTTATTCGAGGATTTTACGCCACGATCTTGGGGACGTGGCAGAAATCTTGCTCATTTTGTTACAAATCCATAGCGGCATTATCTCGAGGCTGGTCATATTAGGCTCCGACGTTCTTCGAACACTTGATTCTTTGAGCCTTGTACTCTGTCGTTGAGCTCGAGCCTGGTCCATTGAGCTTGAACTCGATCCATCCTGAACTCGGACTTAAGGCGACCCCTCAAGCCCGAAAAATAGGGCATACCTGATTTCGGCCGTATACAGATAGTCCCTACATTTCTTAGAGTAAGATGATAAGAAACGATTTGATCTTCGACGCTCCGACGCCTCGATCATGATGTCAATCTCGTGATGTCAGCGGCTGAAGTGATTGAAAAGTTGCTTTCGCGTAGTTCCCAAGGTCATTAATTGGAGTTGGTTATTTGGCTTCCCCAAACCGTTTAAGCGGCCTCTATAAATAGGCCAATTTTACAATTTTTGCATACTTCTCAAATCATCCCTAAAATCTCTTTAGCTCCTTCAACTTCTCTGAGTTCACCTTTTCTCAATTTGCTCTTACTACATCATCCACTCATTCTCTTCTCTTGAATTCTAAACCACAATGTCTAAAACATCTAAAACTGTTCCTCAAAAAGAAAAAGCTTTTTCATCATCGCAGCCGGTCAGAGGTAGAACAGTGGTGCCACATCGTATCGAGGAGTGTATTCCCGGGCCTTGCGAACTAACTTCCTATTTTAAAATCGATAAATCTGCATCGAAAGCAGACCGATGTGAGTCCATGTCTCGATACATCTGCTTGATAACTGAAGATGAGCTTGAGCAGGTGAAAAAGGACTGCAACTCGGAGAACAAAGATGTTGTGATCCCTTCCCCTGAAGAGGACATCACTACCCATAAGGCAGGGTACTTAAGCGTGTATACCTACCCATTCACGTTGGGTCCCGTAGATCCACCTTTGGGTTCCATAGACCTAGTGATTCTTGATTTTGCCCAACAATACTAGGTGATGCTTGGCCAAATCTACCCTTCATTCTGGTGCATCGTCAATCTGATCAGATATTTCTCGGGCCTGGTCGAGGGGATGCCTTTTACCCTCGACCACCTAATCATGCTATACAACTCTCGCCTTTATCGAGGTGGTATGATAAAGCTGCAGCGCCGATCCTCGAAATCTCTTTTCTCCAGTATCGATGAGGACAAGGACCGAGGATGGTTGAGCCGGTTTGTCCGAATCAAGACCTCCGATTTGATTCCTGCTGAGAGGATGCCATTTCCCGATGAGTAGAACATGAAACGTAAGTACAGATTTATCGATGGTGACTTAATATTATGCTTTCTCTACTCTTTCTCGATATCATCCTTTTCTCGATCTAATTACTTTTTGATGATGCAGCTATTTCTTGGTTTCCTGGCGCGGTCCCGGACCTCGCAAGTTGGGTCCGAAAACTGGCCTCCACTTCTTCATACGTGGAACGCAGTTGGCGTGACTTGGCCAAGGGTCGATGGGAAGCTAAAAACCACGGTGAGTTCTCTTGTTCACATATTACTCATTTTATCATTATGCAGGCCTCAGAGATGCCATTGCTATGCTGCCGCCCCCACCTGGTGAAGAAGAAATCCCAAAGCCCACCAAGGAAAAGAAAAGGAAAAGGGGGCCGCCTGCAAATTCCCTGAAGCCAAAGAAAAGCAAGGCTCGAAAGCCTAAGGCCGATTTCGTGACCCTATCTTTAGAAGTGGCCCAACACCTTCGGGATGAGGACGAGGAGGGAGAAGATGACAACTGCCTGTTGGTAGCTCAGAAAAGAGGAAGCACTGACGCTTCTAAGGCTGCACAATCGATGGTGGCATATGCGATTCAATCTCGAATAGAAAAAATTTCGGAGGGGAGCTCGAGCAAAATCCTCAAGCTATCAGGTGGAAAAAGTGTGTCTCGTCTCAGGGGACATTTGGTGGGCGAGCTCGAAGAGCCTAA